CATGAAAACTATGTGATTCAGATGCGACATTTATTTGGTTAGCCATATAGTGATTTACTCGGTTTGGTAAACTTGACTTTTTTGGTATTTATAGCCACTCGTCAACCCCATTTGCATCACTGTGCGATAGGTCCGCCTGACCGGCCACGGAATACGTTCGAGTCTCGTCCTACTAAACAAGTGTCATATTTGTTTGTTTAACGATCCATATCACTATCAAAGTTTTCAGGATACCGGTGAAGAAAGTTCATTCTTCTGCTAGATTGACTTACAACATGCTTTAACTTACATTTTCTTATACAGGTTTTGCTCCGTCCCGCTGCGCTCAATGCCCGCGCGGGGAAAGTTAGCGGGGTTTCACTGTCAGAGGTTGTACCAGTGACAACTGTTTGGCCCTGTGACCGGTCGAAGGTTACCCCGCCCCGCCGGGCGCTACCCCCACTTCTGACCAGTTGAAGTCGATACAGCCTCTGACAGCTCAGCGCGGCCAACTCTTCTTGTATGGGCATAGCTGAGTTGAGCAAAGTAGACAAAAACAAATGCAAATTCATACATGATGTGAAAATGACAGAGCAATGAAGCTTCCTCTCAGGTATCCTGAACAGCTCAAGTACCGACTTGAATTGTTAAAAAAATGACGTCTGTTTAGTAGGGCGACAGCCGAACGTCTCTTCTGTGGCCTGTCAGACAGCTGAGAGCGCCGGGTCTGCGCGTCGATAAGGGTCATTTGACGCCTTTGTGTGGCTTACTTTGATCCGTCGTGACACTGTGTTGTGTGATTGCGCCTTGTTGCCGGCTGTGAGAGACACATCTTAATATTTCAGAATACTTTTTCGCTATGTATTGTTCTTTTGGCATTCAGCTTTCACTGGTAATCGAAAAAACATGACTATGATTTAAAGATTGTCCTGGACAGCTCGTTGAATAAAATAAAAGATTTTTACGATTTTACAAAAACGCAATTTCTTAAAAAGGCCATCGAACGATTTCTATATAAAATACTGTTTTGGAATCAGCTCACCGTCAGCTTTCGAACGGTATATTTCGTTTCTTTGGTGGATGAAATGACTTTCCGACGAGCCGTGCTGGTTCAACCGCCAACGCATTCCACCTATAAAAATAAAACCAGCATAACGCCATTTGGGGCGACTAACGGAGCGAGCGAGAGGGTGGGCCTTGCACGTGCGAAATCGCGAGGGGTATCTCCAACTGACTTGTGCACAGCACCCTACTAACCGGTCTCTAGCGATGTGCCAAATTTGAGCACAATCGGCCCAGCCGTTCTCGAGATCTGGAAGCGGCACCCTGCACGTGCGGACATGCAAAATGGGCCCCAACTGACTTTTGCACGGCACCCTGCTAACCGGTCCCTAACCGCGTACCAAATTTGAGCGCAATCGGTCCAGCCGTTCTCGAGATCTGGAATCGACCCCTGCACGTGCGCACGTGCAGCAGCACCCCAACTGTGGCACATGCAAAGGCATTGCCTTGTGGGTGCCTACCTACATGCCAAGTTTCAGCGCAATCGGCCCAGTAGTTACCGAGATATTGCAATTGTTACAAAACTGACACCTCTTCGTTTTGCACGTGCCACGTGCATAAGGGGTCACCCACATGCATCGGAAATAGTCCAATACTTGGTAGAAGGAATGAAACTACCCTACAAAAATTACCGCATGTAAATCGGTCAAGTGGTTGCTGAGATATAAGCATCGCAAAAGCGTGACCACGGCCGGCCGGCCGCTCATACTGTCCGTTATTCTACGTAAGACTTCGCTCGCTCCGTAATGAGTGGTAAGGCGGCCAGCGCAGCGCGGCGCGTCCCTGACCCAGCCCAACGCGTCTGTGCCGAGCGTGAGGCCAGAGGGGTATACTGTACCGCTGAACCTGGGTGTGAGGCGGCGCAGTCTACCGCTCCAGTCAAACGCTGGGCCGTCGGGGGGCGAACATCACTTAGTAGGTGAGTCGCTTATGCTCGAAGGATTGGATAAACGGCGCTTGATTTATATGAGTAGGTACTCCGGCGAATGTCTCTACTCATGTCTCACTTCGTCACACTGTCAGGGTGGCCACCCTGTCATTCCCAGACATGTTATGTTTTCTTTCGACCCGCTAATCTAAGCTACACCTGGCGTCGATTCTGTTGCCCCAGCATCTGACATCAACGTATCTGAATAATGACATTGGTGACGCCTATGCTCGTCAAAGCCACCCCCAAACTTGGGCCGATGACTGTCGGGTCTCCTCAATATTCTGTCCTTGTGCATACTGCATTGCTAGCCCCTGCTGTACGTATATCGTGAATTTTCGATTCTCGCGAAGTTGCCGTTTCGCCGTTGGAATAAAATTGCGCGGCAGCATATTGGGGGTGCGAGCCACCGTCAAAAACTAACGTAAATTGTCAACAGCAATGCAAAGAGGTGTGTTATTGCTCAGAGTTTGTTTTTTGAAGAATTAACAAGTGATACGGTACGTTAAGAAGGCAGCTGTATTCTTAAAACGGATTGTTTCGAGGCAACTACCCAGAATCACTCACTCTTTTCTGAGCTCTGCTTGAGTTATTTTCTATACCATCGACACAGACTACCGTGGCAGACGCACCGATGCTGCACTGAAACTTTCCGCCCCGAAAACATGGGATAGCTCACCCCGATCGTGTGCAATAAGACCACGCACTTATAACTTCCCACCGCCCAGCCGGCCGCCCGGCAGATGTCGTGGCGCGCGGTGCCGATAAGGCGCTGCCGCCGGCGCGCGGCGTCGAGTTCTCGCCCTTATTGACACCGGCCGGTCGGCGGGCGTAGCATGGTCCTCTTCAAGCCGTTTGAGGAGCCCCTAACAGTTAATACTTTTCAGAAAAAAGGGCATCATTGGTCTCAGAAAAGAATACCGCACCACATGAGCCATGAGCCCATATACTTTTCCAAAATTCGTTTTTTTTAAACAACCCTAATGCGCATCTGTACATACCTACATTAAATGGTTGGCCTCAGGCCCGTCATTCAGTTAGAGGTTTTGTTATTGCCTTTTAGCCGCAGGTGACATCAACAATAACTCCATTTGCACCAGTGGCGGATCCAGGGGGGGGGGGCTGCGGGGGCTGGCAGCCCCCACCCAAGGAAAACTGGCGCCACTGCGCCGAAGGCGCAGTGGCGCCAATTTTCAATTCGCAACTCATCGGAGTGCCGCATACTAGGACTAGGATGCAAAAATCAGTCGAATAACGTCGTTTCAGTACGCTCCGCACCGATATTTCCAATCGTGTGGTGTCACTGTACATACTGATCCTGGGCGCCTCTTGTCAGGGCCACTGGGCGCCAATATTTCAGCGCCAATACGATGCGACTATGGCGCCCATCCGGGGCGTGGCGCCCAATTATGACCTGCAGCCCCTCCCCAGTGAAAATCCTGGATCCGCCACTGATTTGCACATAAAAATCATTTATTTGTGCTTTTATTGCAGACGGTAAACTAGAAATAAGACATTTTTTTTTCGGTTGAACGGTTTATTTTCGTGCCACACTGCAACATACATTGTTCCTCTCCAATGCGCAACAACACAACAAAGACGCCAAACACAGAACAATGACCCGTATCCTTCCATATTGGCGCTCTGACCTACCCAATGGACGACACAGGCGAACACTATATAAACAAGAAAACAAAACAAAAAGCGAGCATTTGGTATGAAGTTTTTTTCACTGTTGCACCAAAATCAATAGGTAGGTATTGTTTGAAGGTTGAGCTGCAAAACAGTTTACAATAATATTGAAACATATTGAAACAGGGCACCCGCTCGCACACAGCGCACGCCCGCCCCCAGCCACCAGCGCCCACACCGGCGCCCGCGCGCGCCAAGAAGAGCGCGCGGCCGCGCCCGCGCATGCACAAATGCTGTATGATTGGGTGCAGTATGTTTGAGTTTGTAAGTGTGCGCGTGTGTGTCTTGCATATACATTATTCATACACTTATAAGACAGTTAAACTGTACCACAATGCATGTTCACGAGCCAATGCATGGTTAAAATGAATAAAAAGTATCTAAAGCCCGCCTGGCCAGGACGGGACGGTGTCTTAACCCATATGACAACCGTCCCGGCTCCGGGGAGGTCTAGAAGATGCCTCCCCGACCGGGGAGGGCTAGGGGATACCGCCCCGGTGTACCTCCAGGCGGGCCGGCCAGCCCCCACCCGCACCGCCCGGCGACCGACTCATCCCGTCGGGCGGTGCTCCCTAGCCACCGACCGGGAGTGCGAGACGTCAGCCAGACCGGCTGGCGTCTCGCACGCCCGGCCAGCCGACCGACCCACAGGGGCCGGTCCCGGGTTGGCCCGGATGGGTCATAGGGGTGGGGGCCTCGGTAAAAACGACGCGAATTAAAAAAGAAAAGAAAAAAGTGTGGACGTGTGTGTGTGTGGGGTGTGTGTGTGTGTGTGGGTGTGTGTGGGCGTGTGTGTGTGTGGGGTGTGTGTGTGTGTGTGTGTGGGTGTAGGTGGGCGTGTGTGTGGGGGGGGGGGCGTGCGTGTGTGTGTCGCGCGCTTTCCTGTTTTCATGTCGTGATTTATTGTGCCTGCGGCTTCCGGGACGCTGCTGACATCTATCCGTCGCAAGTTCAGAGAATGTACGCTTCCTATTTGAGGATTTGTTCGAGTGCTCCCCATTTAGTTTGGAATTCGTTTAGTTTGTTTTTAGATTTGAATAAAATATACTCTTTTTGTGCTTCGATCCTCAATACGTTTAGCATAACGTTCAAGGTAGGTTTACTTTTATTCAATCGTGCTTTGTGTGTGACATATTTACAAAGCGTAATAATGAGAACTTCAATGTAACTAGAAATAAGACATAAAGGATCTATGAAATAAACCGATTCCAATCCGAGACCCTTCTAAACTATCACAGTCGAGCATGAAACCAAGGCCGTATATTGGTTCATGAAACGAGGCTCGCTCTTTTCAGCAATATTCAGCATTCGCCACAATCCGGCTCCTTACGGTTCTCACCTGGAAGATTCTATCCACGTGCTGTTTAGTGGCGGCGTCCTCAGTGATGGAGCCCGAGTGGCGTCCCACCAGCATGTAGACGGAGCCCACCACGTCCAGCATCTCCTCCTTGGTGATGTAGCTGCCGGAGACCACGGTGACACGTCAGTCGGGGACATCGTGAACAGAAGACATTGATCCTGACAGGTGAACAGGAGACATATCGCCGGCCTTGTCGGTCATGAGAACTGCGTGCTGAGAAACAGCTGAAGGATGCATTCATAGGATCTGTTGAGGCTCAAAGGTTCTGTTCCCTTCATGATTCATCTCATGTCATCTATATACTGTCGTCCACGCACGTCACAAGCAATTAAAGCACAGCACACTGTATACACACACGTCGCTATAAACGTCACTGAGGTAAACAGCAGTGCGATACGGACGTCATGCCATCACTTGTGTGGACCCTGCACGATATCCCCGATAGGACGTTACTCAGCTCTGTCCAGTCTGTTGGCTCTGCGATAATGCACATTGCGATTGCACAGCGCACACACACACGAGGACTTCACCTGATTCGCCAAACCGCTGGCTGATAGTACCATGAAAAAGCATTTAGGTCCTCCCTGGCTGCATCCCTTGGCTGTCCTCCTCACTTTTGGACAGTGGCGGCGGAACACCTTCAAATAACGGGCGTTATCTTTAGTTAATCCCGTAACGCTTCGGCATCGTATGCTCCATACTCATGTGATGGCTGTTTATCGGCCGGCCGTCTCTCTCTCTCTCTCCCTTACATCCCATTCACCTTCCAGGCGATCGTTAAGAGAGAGGAGACGGTCGACGAGGTAAGGAAATGAAGGTAAGTAAAACCAACGCAGATGGTTGGAGGGGTAGGTGGAGGAAACGTGCTCAGCAGCGACCGCTACTGGCCCGCTTCACTCTTTTTTTTTGTTGGGTTAGGCTCTTTCGGTCCAATGAGACCATTTCAGAGCCGGGAGGATGATAGGATATAGGGGGAGACATTGGTCTGGGCAGGCACCCTAGTGAGTCACTGGGGCTGAGCCCGTCCAGAGGACAGGCCACCCAGCCCCAAGGCACTCACTGCACACCCGGCTACGGGGTGCGCTCCCTCGGGAGTAACGGTGCCGCTCCAAGGGAGCAGCCCGCATGAGATAAAGTTGCCTGTCCAGCCCGGAGGGGGGTTGCGGCGTGGAGGAGAAGGATTTCTGTATCCTGAGGATAGAAGCACGGAACGGTGTGCCGCTTCACTCGCCCGGGCCGCGTTGAGTGGACCTCAGCCGTCCCGCTCACGGCCGGGCCGCTGGTGACGTCACGAATCCTCCGGCGAGGTCAGGTCGGGTCACCGCTCGACAGTGCCGGCCGGCGTGGCTCTAGAGGCCAACCGCGGATACGTGTTTGAGCAAGGATGCGAAGGGGCGGGGGGGGGGGGGGCACTGCCGACTTTTGGTCCCATTCTTTCAATGCAACGTCCATAGGGCTAATGTTAAAATGCCGAAATCAAAGGGGGGCACGGTGCCTCGGTGCCCCCCGTTCCGCCGCCTATGCTTTTGGCTGAGGCAGTTTACGCCTTAGAGCTATAAGCCCGGAACGTGGATGCTACAAGACATAATCGTAGCACCACGTAAGTGACATGTCTGCCCCGACTCGGGCCGGGTCTCGGACTGATGCCTCGGGCCCTGAGCGTGACCTTTGGTCTGTGACTGGCTCTCCCACGAGCTTTTGATAGAGCACCGCGGGTGGACGCGCCACTGAATGTCACGCGGACTCTCGATGAATGATTGCCCGTAGCTAGCGTAAGGTCGGTAACCACACAGTGATTTAGTGTGAGTGGGTCCTGCGTGCTCTGGTCCCAGCCTGACCTCTCAATCATCCGTCTGATAAGGGTTATGATTGAATGAGTAGAGATTCCCTAATGAATATTTCAATTAGAGATACAAAACAAACGCGTTATATACTACGATGCATGCCTCATTAAGTACCTAAACAAATTTTGATATTGACCTAGTGTGAACTTCCTGAATAAAGATATTTCAAATGAGGAAGAAACAGAGCCTTTCAAATGGCGTTCGTTTTCGCAGGGACCAGTAGCTGAGTTTGTTGTTCTATTTGTGTTTGATATTGATCGGTGAACGCCTCCACAGCAGGAGTTGGGGCGGGCGGCCGCACTGCTGCCGCCTCTCACATATCTCTGACTGAGTTAGCTCGTCTACGAGACATGCAGTGAGCTGACCCGTCTCCGTCAATATCAAACAGTGAGTTAGTTAATCCGTTTTCGTTTACATCAGACAATGAGTTGATCTGGCTTGGCTAATATAAAAAGTGAGCGTCCATTGACATCAAGCTGTGAGTTAGCCTGTCTCCGTTAACATCAACCAGTTAACTTCCGTCTCCATTAATATCAAAGTGTGAGTTAGCCAGTTTCTGTTCACGTCAAATTGTGAGTACACTCTTCTCCGTTAGCATCAAACTGTGATGTATAGCCCGTCTCCGTCAACACTTAACAGTGAGTTAACCCGTCTCCGCTAACAGCAAACAGTGCGTTAACTCGTCTCCGAATAGTAAGTACGTCTCCGACAGTACGATGCCATACACCGACAGCCCTCACCTGTCCCGGTTCATACCAAACAGCGCAGCTCACCCGTTCCGGTTCATACCAAACAGTGCAACTCACCCGTCTCCTTTACCTCCTATCATACACCAAAACTCGCTCGGCTCCGGTAGCCATGCACTGAGAGCTCACCCGTCTCCGGTAACATGCACTGAGAGCTCACCCGTCTCCGGTAACATGCACTGAGAGCTCACCCGTCTCCGCTAACATGCACTGAGAGCTCACCCGTCTCCGCTAACATGCACTGAGAGCTCACCCGTCTCCGCTAACATGCACTGAGAGCTCACCCGTTTCCGGTAACATGCACTGAGAGCTCACCCGTTTCCGGTAACATGCACTGAGAGCTCACCCGTCTCCGGTAACATGCACTGAGAGCTCACCCGTCTCCGGTAACATGCACTGAGAGCTCACCCGTCTCCGCTAACATGCACTGAGAGCTCACCCGTCTCCGGTAACATGCACTGAGAGCTCACCCGTCTCCGGTAGCATGCACTGAGAGCTCACCCGTCTCCGGTAGCATGCACTGAGAGCTCACCCGTCTCCGGTAACATGCACTGAGAGCTCACCCGTCTCCGGTAACATGCACTGAGAGCTCACCCGTCTCCGGTAACATGCACTGAGAGCTCACCCGTCTCCGCTAACATGCACTGAGAGCTCACCCGTCTCCGGTAGCATGCACTGAGAGCTCACCCGTTTCCGGTAACATGCACTGAGAGCTCACCCGTTTCCGGTAACATGCACTGAGAGCTCACCCGTTTCCGGTAACATGCACTGAGAGCTCACCCGTCTCCGGTAACATGCACTGAGAGCTCACCCGTCTCCGTTGACGTCGTACAGCGAGAACGCCCAGCGCAGTTTGTCGTAAATGTCGCCCCGGCTCAGCGCCGATAAAGCCGTCACAAATTCCTGCAGGAGTTATAGGACAAACCAGCGCAGCCGGTCAGGCTCACAGGTGTCACACAGGACTTCATTACCTAACGGTAACTTCCCGAACAGATTCTAGACGGAAAAACTGCTATCGGTCACTGCTAGTGTGGCCGACGGCAGAAAACGGTTCACGTCTTGCACTAGAGGCTTGGTATGTGGCCCTAAAGCCAATATTTAAGCGCAATGCTTAAATACCGGCCCCGGTGCCGCAGTTAGTAAGCGTGCCGTGACGCGGGTCGGGAGGTCTCGGGTTCGATCCCCGGTGCCGCCCGCCCCGCGGTCGTTGTCCCCAGATATATCACTGGAAGTAGAGTGGAGTGGAGATCCTCATTAACCGTAGCTCAGAGGGAAGGGGTATGGAGGAGAGGGAGTGCCTCTTGTGATGGGCGCAAAGGCTGTTGGAAGGGCGATTTAATAATACAAGAATAGTAACGATAAAGAGGATCACGAGCATGCTAATCGTTCACCAGACACGTTCATAGTCGAGCGCGTGTCGCACATTACCCGCGGACAGGGTCAGCTATAACTGATGGACACATTCGACCCCCCCCCCCCCACAGCGACCCCCTCTGTGGTGACCCCGTGACCGATCGCTGACCAATATTGCCTCGACGAGAGACCATTGCTCAGCGATGACCAGCGCGCCTCACATTAATTGGAAACCGCGGCATTATCGAAGGAATGATGATCGACTGGGGGGGGGGGGCGGAGTAGTTCCTTTGTTTCTACCGACAGGAAAAGCCGATGTGCGCGCTGAGACGGAATGGGATGAGTATGGCGCGGCGAGGACCCGATAAGAATTGTAATTACCAGGACAGGGCGGTGCCGCTGGGAGGCGGGGTGTCTCACCTCGAAATTGATGGTGCCCGTGTGGTCTGTGTCGAAGGTGTTGAAGATGTGGTGCGCGTACGCGTTCGAGTCTGAGAAAGACAGAACAGACAGGAAGCGTGAGTGGGTGCTGCTGGCAAGTATGATTGACTATCATAACAACCAGTATAACGCCTTTTGGGGCGACTAACGGAGCGAGCGAGAGGGTGAGCCTTGCACGTGCGAAATGGCGAGGGGGTACCTCCAACTGAGTTGTGCACGGCACCCTACTAACCGGTCTCTAGCGATGTGCCAAATTTGAGCACAATCGGCCCAGCCGTTCTCGAGATCTGGAGGCGGCACCCTGCACGTGCGCACGTGCAAAATGGGTCCCAACTGACTTTTGCACGGCACCCTACTAACCGGTCCCTAACCATGTACCAAATTTGAGCGCCATCGGTCCAGCCGTTCTCGAGATCTGGAATCGACCCCTGCACGTCGACTGACATAGTCGACTGACATAGCCCCGTCTCGGTGGACTGGCGCCGGCCCGCTATCACCGCTTATCAATGCCAACTGTCGCGGCAGCCGACCTGACTCTCCGCGGCCCTGGATTGTACCATATTCATTTATTCTGTTTACGTTGCCAGGTGGTGGTGCCTCGATTTAAGCATCAGCTTTTGCACCACCACCTGGACTATTTGCTTATTTCCATTTTATGTCTAATAAATGTGTTTTGTTGTTTTTGTTGTACGTGCGCACGTGCAGCAGCACCTCAACTCTGGCACATGGATATGCATTGCATAGTGGGTGCCTACCTACATGCCAACTTTCAGCGCAATCGGCCAAATAGTTACCGAGATATTGCAACAATTGCAAAAGTGACACCCCTTCGTTTTGCACGTGGCACGTGCATAAGGGGTCACCCACATGCATCGGGAATAGTCCAATACTTGGTAGAAGGAATGAAGCTACCCTACAAAAATTACCGCATGTAAATCGGTCAAGTGGTTGCTGAGATATAAGCCTCGCAAAAGCGTGACCACGGCCGGCCGGCCGGCCGGCCGGCCGCTCATACTCAGAAATTTCCGTTAATCTAAGGAAAGACTACGCTCGCTTCGCTCGCTCCGTAATCATAATGCCCTACGTCGAAATTGGACGAAGCTGAACTGTCCCTCAACAGTTGGAAATGAAGAACGATAGCGATATGAAAGATATCAGTAGGATTTGCAGGCTGAAATATGCATAGCTTAGCGAGTTTCTCAATAAGATTCCGGGATCTACTATAGAAAGTAGATTATGGAACGGTATTAACCCGCGCCCGGCTGGGGGTCCTGGATTTCCACGCCCTGCTGGGGGGGGGGGGGGTGTTTGAACACCCCCCCTTCTAACTCGGCTCCTGGGCCACGTAGCGATACGCGGAAGGCGGCGTTCGAAAGAGCGTCAAAAATAATGAGGAAATCACTTCGGTCAATTTTTTGGTCAGGTCAAAGGTCAGGTCACCAGAGGTCATTGAAGGCAAAATTTCGCCGATTTCCAGGTCGAATGTCGACAATTTCCAAGAAGCCAACGCATAACTCGGGAACCAATAGAGCTACAGCGCCGCAGAAAAGCGCATTCGATAGCCCTATTAACGCCCTTTCTGAGTAATTCTCTCAGATTTGACCTAACGTCAACGGTTTTGCCTGCAGGGGGCAAAAACTGCAAAAATAGCCGATTTTTTCGGAAACAGTTTTTCTGCAATAACTTTTGACCCAAGCCTTGTACGAGCTTACTTTTACCGGCATCGTGTTCCTCTCGTCAAGACGCATCGAATGAACTATAAGTTGACCTTGAAAGGTCAACTTGAAAATTTGACCTCAGGTCAAGGTCATGACCTGACCGGAAAGGGTCATGTTGCATATCAGTCGATCCGTATCGTCGAGCTGAACACATCTAAGGCGTTTTCATCGCTCTAGCATGCCTCTATCAAAAGTTATTTGCGAAAAACTGTTAGATACCATTCGTGACCTAAGATGACCTCAGGGCATAAACAGGGGTCACGGACACCATTTTCATGTTCAGTGTGTCTCAACCACTTGTAATTTAGTGTTTGGGAGTGTTTATAATGTCTTTCGTCCAAAGGAGGCGCATTTCAATTTTCTCCCATTGACTTATAATGGGGAGGTCGCAAAATTGACCTGACCTTAGGTCACCGATATCAAAATTCTGAGATATACATTTTGTACATGCTATTGCTCTTAGCAATCGCTGAAAGTTTCAAAGCGATCGGTCACTCGGTGTAGCTATGACAGACATTGAAACTTTTTATGAGGTGAGGTCACTTCAAGTGACCTGGTGACCTGACCTTGAATGACCTTGGTCTGAAATTTTCACAACATGTGTAGAATTGATGTATGATAAGGTGTACCAAAAACGGCGGCGCTCCGCGCCGCCGTTTTTGAGATATTCGCGAAAAACCACAAGGGGGGGTGTTCAAACACCCCCCCCAGCAGGGCGCGGGTTAAAGCTCATGCATCTCCACATAAAATAATGAACTAAGGCTTTTGTGAGCACTATCATATCAAAACATTCGGACAGTTGATACCAGGAACATCCCTGTTGGTATAGTTTTGGCACACAAAAAGTCGTTCTCTGGGCCGATCTTAGTTCATCTGGCCGTAAAATGTTATGTCAGTCCAGTATATATTTACTATGCATAAATTTGTCACAATGGAAACTATGATAAATGACTCTTCTGACAGACTATTTCTGGCAAGGTTTTGCTGTCCTAAGGTTATTTAGACTAGAAAGGCCTCTCGGAATCACATCGGGCGACAGAAAAAACTACTTCAGGATGTTATACGACGCATTTCCAGCGGAAAGAAACGCGTCGGAATGACTTGTTTACCGAGATTCGGTCCCCTTACCTCCTTGGGGGAAGAAGCGCGAGTAGATGTATTTGAATGTCTCCTCGTTGACCGTGCCGCTGGGACACTCCTGCAAAGGAATTCAGTCGTCGGAACAAGGTCTGTGCGTGGCATGTCGTATGTAAGTCTTGGTAAATGATCACAGGCTTTCAAAAGATTGTCGGATATTTGCCAGCAGCGGTAACATCCGATAAAATAGAATAAAACGGACGATAAAATAGAAAATAAACAAAATATATAGCAAAAATAGAGAACGATAAAATAGAACAGACACTATTCTGCAGGCTATTTCCAAGCTCAGCGTTGAGACAAGATGGATGAAACAAATTCTGCACTTTTTTTCGCAGAACAGGGACACGGGCACGACCTTGAACATCCATCCATCATATCCATCTCGTCCTGGCGACCTGCAGCTCCCCTCTGATGACAGACCCATCGCCATTCGCTCAGCAGTCAGAGCAGAGGCCATCGATTACCGGGTGGCCGGCCGACACTGGCGCCGCTAATTTCATCACTGACACCAGCACGTGCCCGGCGCGCGAGGTGCTAATGGACGCTGTCACTGCACCGGCCGCGGCCGTGGTTTCGGTCAGGCCCGACCGAATCCTCAGGGAGCGGCGGAGTGTGTCTGGATCGTGCTCTGGGAAGTTTGATGACAGACGGCGACTTTCGAGGTCATACACTTCAGTATTGATGTAATGGGTCGGCAGGCGGAGAGCGGTATGTTAATTTATTTGGAACTGTGTTACGAAACAGCATGCAACATCGAACAGACAATTACCTGCTCCTAACTAGCTCAGTGTAGGTATACTAAATGCAGCACCATGAAAAATATATAGATAAGGTAGGTCAGGGGCGGATCCAGAAAATCTCCAAGGGAGGGGCCATTAGAAACCAGGAGGCCCCCCCCCCCCATAATCCCACCTGTTGGAGGCCCCATCTTCCCACTTGTTGCCCCCCCCCCAAAAAAAAACTGCGTCTATTGAGCTTATCTAGCTGTTCAGGCAACATCTCAACATCTGTGCAGGCTTGGAGGCCCTCTGTGCAGGTTAGGAGGCCCTGTAAAAGTGGTCATCTCTGCAGGCACGTACCCAGGATTTCGCCCAGGAGGGGGCCACCTGCTTTCGAAGGGGCCCCCCACAGTGTATAGGGCCCCCCAGGTTCCCCGGGGGCCCCCGGGAGTCATGAAGAACCTTTCGATGGTGGGGGGGGGGGGGGCATAGTGGGTCCGGTCTCTCCTGCAGACGTAGGTGAGAAAACGCCACGTGTGTGGGAAAACGCAATTCAGTTCTTTACAACCTAATGTAGCATTTGGTTGTGATTTCTCGCGTTCAACTTCATCAAAGTCAATTAAAACGGTCTCCGTAACGGTCTAAGCCTTGAGAAAATGTGGAAAATTGGAAAGTAAAAATATTTTTGCTTGAGGAGTGTGCATGAAACGCACGGCATTTTATGAGCGAGCGCCTCAATTACTGAACATCCTCTAATTCCGGATATGTACAGGTATATAATATAATAGTGGGGAATAAATGTCTCGTTATCGGAATTCCACTATCTGGCAACTAGCCCTATGTAAACGCGGCTATTATATGTTTCACTAGGAATCGAGCGCAATTGTACTTTTAGCCAGAAAATAAATGTTTGGGTAATTCTGGGACACTCTGTATTAATTGGAGGAATAGGACTTAGGAGGAAATGCGATTGCAAATCGACCCACATCCCTGGGCTGTGTTAGCCAATGACGCCTTTGGGGCCAAGGTTGGGGGGTATTCAGTTAAGCCTTTTTGTTTTTCTGTGATATCTCCGGCACCGTGAAAGATATTGGCTCCTTCAGATGAGTGCCTACTCCAGTCACTATTTATATCCAGTAGCCAGTAGCCACTCAGATGATTTGGGATCAATCAGGTGATAAGCGTACTTTCAGACGACCAGGGGCCCCCAGTCGACCAGGGGTTCCCAGGCGACCAGGTCCTCCAGATGACTAGGGGCCCCACTGCTCCAGGCGACCAGGGCCCTCCAGGCGACCAAGGGCCAATGCGATCAGGTCCCCAAAGTGATCAGGGGCCCCAGGCGACCAGGGGACCCCCATGTGACCAGGGGGCCCCATGCGACCAGGCCCCCGGCTACCAGGGGCCCCCAGGCGACCAGCGGCCCTCAGGCGATCAGGGGCCCCCAGGCGACCAGGGGATCCCAGGCTACCAGGGGCCCAAGGCGACCAGGGTCCCCCAGGCGACTAGGGGCGACCGGGGGCCCCAGGCAACCAGGGGCCCCCATGCGACCAGGCCCCCCGGCTACCAGGGGCCCCCTGGGCGACTAGGTACCCCCAGGCGATCAGGGGCCTCAATATCATGCAACCAGAGGCCCCCCATGCGACTAGGGCCCCCTAGGCGACTAGGGGCCACAGACTATCAAGGGCCCATACGACCAGGCCCTGGGCTATCAGGGCCCCCTAGGCAACTAGGGGCCCCCAGTCGATCAGGGGCCTCATGCGACCAGAGGCCCCCCATGCGACCAGGGCCCCCTAGGCGACTAGGGGCCACAGGCTATCAGGGGCCCCCATGAGACCAGGCCCCCGGCTACCAGAGGCCCCCTAGGCGACCAGGGGCCCAGGAAACTGGGGGCCCTTGGATGACTGCAGGGGCCCCTCGGGTACCCAGGGCACATAAATGAAACTTAAATATCAATTTTTCTTCCGAGTAAAAGACGTTTTATCCAGTGTTTAGGGCCTGAGGGGCCCCCTGAGCGACGAAGGCGCTCGGGGGGGGGGGGGCCTTGGCCCCCGTGCCCCCCCCCCCTTGGGTACGTCACTGCATCTCTGTGAGTATAAGAGACCTCCAAGTTATGAAAAGCTTTACCAATCTTCTAACAAAGAAGTCTTCTCAGCTAGTCTTCTAAGAAATAACTAAGTGGGTAGGTTAAAAAAAAACTCATCGGATTTCGGCCACTTTATTTTCAGGAGGCCCCCTTTTCAGCTTTTTAACTTTTTAACTTTTTATTTTATTTTTGAAAAAAAATCGGCCAAGGGGGGGCCATGGCCCCCATGGCCCCCCCTTGTATCCGCGCCTGAGGTAGGTTTCATCACAATGCACTTAATAAGCGATGCCTTTCTAACAAACAACAATATGCTGACCACCCACACCAGCTCACATCAAAGAGGGCAAACGGAATACTGCAGCAGAAAACAATGTGGTATCCTTCCGGCATTCAAAATGCTTTTTCACTCATTCTATTCACCGTGAAAAAGGCTACCGCCTGGCGGATAGAAATTATGTGGTGTTACGCGCATTTACCGCACTACGGACCGGTCGCCCATATCTAGGGACCCCGCCATTTTGATGTTATTGCTAGTGCTCTAAAAGGCACGGGCAAGACATCAAAGGCAATCTCCTGAGCCCCTTTCATCCCTCCCGCCTCCTCTTTTCAGACTGAAAGCCCGCTAAGTCTAAATCAACATGGAAAATCTTCTCTGTGCTCTCAAAAGAAGATGAAGTTTTGGGCACCCGCACTTTCCAGAGACCAGAAACAGCGACAAGCAATAAACACTTCAGAAATGAAAAGCCGCACTCTTATAAATTAAAGACGTCGAAACTGGTGGCTTTATAACCGAGTGAAATACAACAGCTAAAGCGACTCCAAGTTGATAGGCGGCGGAACGGGGAGGGGACCGGGGCACCGTGCCCCCCTTTGATTTTTGCATTTTGACATTAGCCCTATGGGCGTTGCATGGAAAGAATGGGACCAAAAGTCGGCAGTGCCCCCCCCCCCCTAATTGAGGGTGTTCCACCGCTGCTGCCAAGTTGCAGGATTTGGACGGATACCGCACGCCATAACAATTAACATAATCATTCATGATGTTTCTCTGCATATCCGTTCAATTCAGTACAAAAGATTCAGGATTCTGCCTATTCGTCACAACTTGCCTCAGCAGCTGCACATTGATTAAAGAAAGCAAATATTGAGGCGTGCAGTACCTTACTCCTGAATATCTGTCTGTCATACTGAATATCTGTCTGGCATTCATTCATCTTGTCGTACAAAACAACATAGTATTTTAAAGGGACCCTCCCACCTTCAAAAAAGTTAATGAATTGGCATAAAAGTGATGTAGCGTGAATCACAAAGAGCGAAAATGAACATCTACCAAATTTTACCGGAAAATATTCAACCGTTTTCGAGATATAAGACTTTTATTTTTGTTTACTTTTTGGGAATTCCGCTGTTTCTATGACGTCACATAAAGGTTTTCTTTACGTCGGCATTTGGAAGCAATAATTTGGTATCAAAGTGCGACAAATATTGCGCGAATGATGCGTTTATCTTATCAAGGTCAATATATGATGGCCAACAAAGGATTCCAGGACAATTCTTCTTATGGCATTTTTTCGTATCGCAATTCTTCGTCTGCAAATCTTCGTCAGGGCATTTATTCGTATCGCATTACTTTGTCTCGCATCAGGGTATATGAAAATCGGCTCGCATTTCTTCTTCAACGCAAATATATGCAAGAGTAAGCATTGATGGACAAATAAATGCACCGACGAAGATTTGTAGACGAAGAAATGCGGACGAAGAAATGTCATGCGAGGATTCGTTCGGGTACCATGACATTTATGTGATTTCAAAGTCAAGGTTCACAGCTGATCTGCTAAATCAAGCCAAGAATCCAAACTATCAAAAAACTATAAATATTTGTTTGTCTGTCACAGAGGTCTCAAGCAATATAAGGTTGACATATGTTGAATCAAAAATCTACTGCCACAACTCACATCTCCTGCCTTAGTTTATCATTGTTGTTTTAACTTGCTTTCAAGAGAAACAGAAGCCAGTATCTGATATCACTTCAGATGATTGTTTCAAGATCTGAGTTCAAATGGAATTAAAAGCAAGATCAAGATGAAACAGGGATTATTGCTGTTAAAGTAGTTTGGCCATGATACAACAGGCACATAAATCATTAGCCAAATCAAATACTGGTTGGTTTGTCAAGATGTTTGTTGTCTGTCGTCTGTCGAGCTGCTATGAACACTGAACGCTCTCACTCTTACTTTAAAGAGAGTAGTTTAAGTTGAATGGTAGTGAGCTGTAATTAGACAAAGCAGCTATTCAGTGCTCACATCAAGCCAGGCTAGGAAATGGCATCAACTGTGGTGGGAGGAAGCAGGTTCGGCAGGCCTATGTTGTAAACTTCTGTTGTGTCTTGTGTTTGATCAACTGATGTTTTCTGCTCTGTTTTGTGCAGTGATAGTAGCAGGTAACTGCATGCTTGTCAAATTATGTGAATAAACGAATTCATAATTGCATTTTTCTCTCCATGCAAGGAACAAGCAAGATGTTGTAGAAAATGTAATAGAGGGCTGCATTGCTGATTTCATGCACTTTATCAGAGCTTTATTTAGAATTGCTTTCCTGAAAGCTACACACAGGCCACAGCACTGAAATTCACAATGTCATAGCTTTTGGCAGAAAAAAAGAAAAGACTTGCCTAGGTAAAATTGGCTGAAAGTATGGCAGAGCAGGTCTTGATGCGTATGCCCATCCGTGTGCTTGCCGAAGCCGAACTGACTGCAACACATTAACTCTGACCCACCATGGTGGCTGGCATATCCTGAACTTTCACCACTCTAAACAAGACAACTTTCAGCCCTCAGCATTGTATTAAAACACTGTACATGGCAGTTGACACTCAGAATTTGTTTCAGTGCCATCCACGGACAACATCAGTCGCCATTCACCAGGCCAGTAAAAACAGAATAGATAATAGCTTCAAACCCATGTAGTCAGAGTTACTAGGTCTGCACCTCAAAACAAAATCCAGGTGACATTCACCACGCCAGTAAAAAAAACAGGTAGGTACTTAGGTAACGTAACAGCTTCAAATCTGGTAACATGTTGGTCGGACTTAACACTACCATATGTACATGGAATAATATGATACCAAACAATAGTGCAACCATTCTGGACAACAAAAGTGTATGATAAAATTAATTTAGAATACTTTGGCAGCATGATTTACGAGCACAGGCAGGCATTACCTACCAGCCTTCTCAATGCTCGTAAAACCAACATTGTAGTTTTGATTTTACCTTACATGATAACACACTTGGCTGCAATGGCACATTTAATTTAACACTGTGAAAAGACCAGTTATAACCACTTCACAAGCACAATTGCACCTCATGCCGACATCCTTTTCCAAGGACAGTCAGCAGCGTCTTTCGTCAAAACTGGAAGATCAATCCCCTTTCAACTGTTAACATCAAAAATATTTCTTCATGGTGTGATCTGCTATGGAAACCTTGCGGGAAAAGAATTAATGTCAATTGTCAGCTCTTCAAATTTCTTTGGACTTAAACTTGCAGTACCATATCCAGTTTGCTTTGATATTTTGCTTTTCATTCCATGTTGAAGTTGAACACCAAGCTCCAGATATAGCAGGCAGCTTGATCATCTTCGGCCTTGGTATAATATCAGTCCAAGTTCCAGTGGTGGGTATCTTCTAATATTCAAATTAACATGAAAAGCAATAGGCTTTCTCAGCGCCGAAGACGGATTTCACGTTGATATAAAAGGGAGCTCAAGGTCAGCAAAACTCGGGTTCAAGGAATGGCGGGCGTTGAAATGACTGCTGACGTCATCAACAAACCGCTAATGGTTAAGAGATAGGGACTAAGCTGGTCCCACCCTGCAAGTAAAGGGAAGAAATTTCTTGAACACCATAAAGCTGCGGGGGTTGCGACCAGGATAAATGGTGGTTTCTGAGCCTGGCCGCAAACTTGGCTATCTCAACTCAAAACTAATGTTAAGGTGGGATGGTCCCTTTAAAGGTAGACTGCCACCTTTTTTCCACAAAACGGTTTTCACTAGATCTGAGCCACCTATGTCCCAGACTGAAGTCGGTTTTCCGAAATTCGAACCCGTTTGCGAGAAATCGGAGACCAAAGTTCAGTTTGATGCCATTTTTTTAGTCCAAGAAAACCGACATCTCTACTGTTTATCGATAACTTTGAAACATGAATTTTCTTATCTTTTGGTAAATATATGTCAAAACTTTGATTGTTTCGAGATCAGAGAAGAATTTTGGAGTGTCAAAATAAAAGTTAAACCTATATATTCAGTAGTTCATTTTTTCCAAAAAAAGTGTGGGAAATGGGGTTTAACATGGGCCAGACCCATTCCAAATGAACCATGATTTTTTAAATGTTTTACGAACTTAAATGCAAAATAAATTAAACATGGCCAATTTCTTATGAAATCATATATTAGTAAATCATAAAATACCTTACTTTTTCAAATAAAATGTAATAATCTTATGACCTTGAAGTCTAGTGATGTGTAAACATTGTCGCTAGACATTAACCGATTGATAATTGTATGATAATCGACAATTTTTTTCGCGATTCACGTGATGATACTTTGTCAGGTGAATTCTAAAATTTTGTTTTGTCCAGGGAATAAATCTAGGCCGATCTGAGAAAACTTTTTGAAGGTGGCAGTCTTCCTTTAAGGGGAACAAGTTTTCATGCAAGACGAGACTGGCACCTACTGCGGAAAAATTAATTAAAGCGACCTTGCCCCACCTATTCACACTTTTTATTCCTTCCCAATCACCTTCGATTCACATTTATCTACATGAAACTCCTTCATGTGTCAACAAAACAAAACAGTGCTTGTCCCCTAAACATCTCAGCTATCAAACATCTCAGATCAGCAACAGTCATAAAGTTGATAGGTAATAAAATATTAAGCATACGCTCTCCCCTTCACACAAAAACATTCGCTCGCCCACCATCGCGCACTGAGGTGTCCTCATTATCCTGTCGCCTCGCCTGTATCGGCCCTCAGTCGCCATGGCACCCTCTCGCCTGCGGAGTGGCGGTGACGGAACCACAGGGTGCACTGAGAAACACATTTTAGAACTTATACTGATATAGTCCGTTTTTCTTAAGTTTGCCCCTCACTGTAAATGTCTCTTTGAACACAGCACGAGAATTGCTAGCTGAATTACTGAGAAAACTGGTTGGCGCACACTGATTTAACCAGAATTCACAGACGATCAATTTCATCAAATTTATTTACTATTTCACAGACTCGTAAATCGTATCTGCCAATACCTACAGCCCCACAGGGATAGACGACTTCTCAGGAATTATGCCTGAACTAATAAATAAATTGCACGGCGCTTAACATAACGTTAAATCGTCGATGTTCAAAACTTTTTTTTGAAAATATTATTCATATCTACAATACAATGTGCGCTAACCAGTTTTCTCAGTAATTCAGCTAGCAATTCTCGTGCTGTGTTCAAAGAGACGTTTACAGTGAGGGGCAAACTTAAGAAAAACGGACTATAGTACTCACCTGAGTACCTTCGATGGTTTCCATTTTGCCGCTTTGAGGAATTGGTCTTTCCCGAGAACTGTGCATGGTCTCCACTTCGGTTTCAGGAGTGGATTTGGTCTTGACCGAGATAGTTTAGTACTGGAAGTTGTCTAGCTACCCGTGTAACGCAAACAGTCAGTCTGCGGTGAGATTCGAACCAGCAGTCATTCGGTCAGAAAGGATGGTAAACTTCTCACTTTTTTCCTTATAGTTCTCGCAGCTGACGTGTTTTGACGACAGATGTCAGCACAGAAGGAAACTAAAGGCGTAGGTGGCGCTGTGTTAAGAGTAGAGCAGTTTGAAGTGCTGCGATTCCATTTTCGCTTAGGAAAATAGCAATTATTGATAAAAATAAAACATGTATTTTTCAGTAGAAGAAATATTTTTTAATGAAAAAGAGCCTTACTATATGACACGATGTTTATCGACTTTAACAGTTCAAACCAATTCAAATGGATATCCCTAAGGAACATCTCTATAATGCCTCAGTGCTTCCGGTCCTTCCTTTCTCGAAAGCACTGCGAAGGCTGCCGGCAGCGTGGTTGTTCCTTTCGCGAGTTGGTGTCTGGCGCACAGCGCGAACGTCTCATGGTGAGTTTGTTTTCTGTATTCTTTGTGTGCACTTAACAGCTTGAAAGTAACCACAGCAAAGGTAATTACTTACTCTGGGAGGTGGCAAAATCTGTGTGCCATTGCCCATTTTTGGGATATAGGTTGCGATTGCCATCTGTTTGCCAGTGTTAGCAAAATCTGCTTAAAGGTAGTGTGCCACCTTTGAAAGATTTCCCATTTTATTTTTCCTAGGATAAGAAGCTTCTGTTTTTACCTAATATCGCAAAAAAAATCAAAAATGGGCCTGGAATAGTGCCTTTTTCGCCTAAAAGTTTTTCGGTTTTTAGATATGTATAACAACTGTAGTGGGCTCACCTGCAAACAGGCGTCGGGCAACAATCGCGAATGCGGCGCACTTGTGACAATAAGCAAAGGTCATTATGGTTACGACCATACGACGTACGGGAATGAGTTATCAGCTGTCTAATCGTAGACAACACAATGTCGAGCCTTAAACTGTAAGCCCGTATTGGTATTGTTTCTTTTATTTGGCTGTCGAACATTATTTATGGTTTGAAATATGATTTTATGTAAAATAATTGATATGAAAAAGCCGTCTTATAAGTTATGACCCCATTTCACCACACGCAAGTGGCAGAAATGACAATGATCAGCTGACGCATTTTTCTTGGCCGAAGTCAGAGCGCGCGGCCCGACGCACCACGCGTATTTGGAAATTCCGACCTCGACGAGCATCAGAAGCCACCTAACAGGCGTGTTCGAAACCGCAGGAGATGATGATGAACGGGTTTATCGAAACTTGATTGGATGAGCATATCGGTAATAGCGATTTCAGTGTGTGCATTTATTGTTCATAGTGGTGTGAAATGTGGTTGGGGTACGACCGACAACCCGTCGGGGCGAATTTCGCACTGGGGTACTCAAAATTTGAAGAATTTAAGACGTTTCCATGAGTTTTGAAGGTATGGATAAGTTCTAAAAATCCGGTTCTCCTTATCTGGGCCATTAACTCCATACGGTCCAAGAAAGCTGGCACACTACCTTTAAATACCAATTCGTGTGCTTTGAGGATATGGCTCAGAAATTAAGCGTTTCTGCCGTTTATCTAATATTTGTCTTACTCTCCCTTTCAGAGCAAGAAGCCGTAGAGACGATGCTCTCAATGTTGGACACCGAAGTGAGGCAACTCATCGGGCACAACGCCAAAATGTCCCTGTTGTGTCCTGGCCCTGGGTCACGCGTGTCGCGCCTTGACAGCCGTGACCTTGAACGACCTTGACCGGCCGGGCCGGGCCGAGCGGCCGAGGGTCAGTATCGTCCGAGCGGCGCTGGTGTCAACACAGCTGAGTGCCGCGAGGTGAGGTGAGGCGTGTTCGCCGAGACGGTCCGGCCACAGTGAAATAGTGAAATAGTGGTGTAATCGATAATATGCGTGGCCAGTACGCGAGTGAGATTGACCCTGTGCGCGACACCGATTCAGAGACGCACATAAGTTAACACCGTCGTGTCGGATCGCTCGTACCGGTGATGGGAGACAACGAGCAGCTGGAGCGTCTGATGGCGCTCCATGGTTCAGCAGTCAGCAGGCTGCCATGCTGGAGTAGCTCCTCCCCAGCCAGATGCAGGTACCAGCTGCGCAAACTGTCTAGAGCGGCCAACCGGCTGTCGTCGCCTCCGCCGCTCCTATGGCTAGACTTCGGTCTCACATGGACTGCCGTCGGTAGTGTTCACATGCCAGCCCATACATTTTACCTGTATTAACTTTTTAATGTCTGTGCCTGTGTAACTATTGTACGTGCCTGTACTTAACAGTGTTTGAATTGTACATCGTTCGCACAGTCTGTGGACCGTGGGGAACGCCGCTTGACATGCATTTTTGCACTTACCTGCATTCCGTGTTAAAAGTAAAGTAAAGGGACTGAGCTGTCGTGCACCGGGAGATATTATGGTCTCTTGCTAAACGACACAGTTGAAACTCAGCACGCCGTATACTGACTGGGGCAGCACGCGAAAGGGTTTGGGCACCTTTTGAAACAAAATGTTCGCATCGAATGACTGCATCGCATGTTCTGTTCCAGAGTGAGTTTTTTGACATCTGACACAATAAATATACATGCCTGTTCTTTACCTTGTTTGTGCATGGAGGGAATGGGAAGGATCGAGAACGCGGATGCTGTGCCATGAAAAGCTGGCGCTCTACAGGGAGGGGAGAGGGGGGATGGGTCGTGAGCGCGAATGCCGTGCCAGGAAAGCCGGCGCTCTTAAGTTGTAAAGTTCTCTGAGACCATACAGGATCATATTATGAGCGGGAATTGTGTTCGTTTATGATCTCATGACCTGGTAAAGGTTCTCATGGGAGATCATCCCGCAGTATAGAGTACCTTATCCGGGCAAGTTCTCGTTCAAGATAGCACCCATTCTCACTCGAGAACGTTACGGGAAAACCTGAGAACTTTACCAAACTGGAGACCAACAACTGTAAACAAAGTTCTCCCCAATTGTGGCTCTCATACAGACCAGAACGACCCCTGCATGGTCTCCGAGAACCATGGATAGGCTTGAGTGTTTCTCAGTGTGGGTGGCGGAAGGAAGGGCTGCTGGCCGCGGCCCAGCCCGGCTCTG